AAGAAAAGAAAAGAAAAAAAAAGAAAAGAAAAAAAAAGAAAAGAAAAGAAAAGAAAAGAAGAAAGGAAGAAAGAAAGAAAGAAAGAAAGAAAGAAAGAAAGAAAGAAAGAAAGAAAGGAGAAAGTTTGAGGCTAGTCAATAAAGATAGGCAGCTAATGGGACATGTGTGTTTGTGTTTAGCAAGAGTTGGCGTTTTGAGCTCTGAACATCTTAATAGCCCATACTGAATGGTTTCCTGAGAGTAGCAACAATGCAAAATGAACTCAGCAACCCATGTTTTCAAAAATGGAAGACAGCTCTATTTGATCTCAGACAGACATATCTAAATCTGCAATGCTGGACTGATGTGTTGCGACTTGCAACCCAAATAAGGATCACAGGTCTGTCCTGTCAAGATTGCTGACAGCAGAAGGGACAAAAAACATTATGCTAAATATTACTAATAAAATGCAACTGATTATATAATTATGGATAGCTAAACTGTATGTAGTTTTGTTTATTTTTGGCAGAGAGTGGGAAATAAACAAGCCATTCGCCGTACTAGAAGTCAGTGTACTATCAGAATGAAAGTAATGTTTCAAGGTAAAACACTTAACTCTAAATAATCTTATAAACTTTAAAAAAGGAGGAATAAAATCCCTTCCTATTCGTCGCTGACGTCACAAGCTGTGCATTCAACTGCATTTCGGTGCAAATTGCAGTGTCATTGGCTCTAAACTAGGTAAATACTTGTGTATTACTGAACATATGTGTATTATATAGGTTATATATATTTAATAGGTCCTCTATGGAACATAGTGCAAAACGCCTTTTGTAATATCTTAAAAGCATGTGCAATGTTACTGAATGCATTTTAAAATAAGGACTTGCTTTAACTGGGTAAAAAGAACGACCCTGCCGAACCTCACCATGTCCATCCATGTCTGCAGCAGCATATTTTAATCAGGAAGCACATAACCTGAAAAGCAGATTTAACTCTCCGTGTCTATTTTGAGGGCGGTATCGCTCTCGCTGTCTCTTGGGCCACTGGTGCACTTCTATGTGGGTTAGAGGGAAAAACATTACAACTGCGGGCCTATATTCAGGACATTGAGAATGGGCAATTAGTGCCCAAATCTGACATATACTCCACATGTTTCCTATTCCTCAACAAGCACTTAAATCTCTCAGCATATTGGAGTCTGAAGCCCACATGTCCTTCAACAACCAAGGAACTGTTTAATAATTGAAAAGTCAACTGTCTATTATAAAATATTATACCTGACAGGTTTACAGACGCCCATAGCCAACCATAATGTTATATTAATCAAGGTCATTGAAGAAATTGAGACGTTATCATTTAAATGGCACTGTGGCACCACCTTATGGCACAAAGGCGTAATTAAAGGAAATGTATTGGGATTATATCACTTTAGATAAATATATTATACTACCAAATAGCTAAAGCATATTGCTGAAATGCAGTTAATTCCTTAATCGTGTTAGACACTGTGTGGGATATTTTAATGTCTGCCAGTCACACTGTTGGGGGTTCTAGATGGATGTAAGCATGTGAGACTAATGTATGTTTGCTAACCAGCTCTCTAATGAAAAAAAAAAGAATATGTGAAACTGACAAAGAGAATGGGTTGAAAAATATATGTAGTCACATACAATAACAAATAATATGTACCCTCTAATTTTTGCCGTTTTCTTTTTTTTTTTGACCTGCAATGATGAACAACTCTAATGTATATAATAAAATATATAATAATAATAATATAAAATATGGAAATTAATTGAATCATGTGTTCCAGACAGCAGTGTAATATAAAATTCAGTAAGTATTGTACTAGTATTATTAGCAAGTGTCTCTTTAATCCAACATAAAGGGACTGATATAAAAGGAACAAACAGACATTGGCAGCAGTAATGAAATGCAGCACTGGAAAATGCTTGTTCACAATTTATTTCTAATGGTAGATTATAAAGTACATTTGAGAAAGAGAGCTCATTGTGCTGCAGGTTCTGGCAGAATGAATTAGTCCATTATGAGAGCTTACAACCATTGCAGAACAAGTACAGGTGATAGAGATTCATACTGCACACAAAACTGAACTCAGTCAGTTGTGTGTGAGAGATTACAACAGATATGTCAATGTTTAACATGACCTGTACCGAAAGCAAACAATAACAATAACATTTCATAATCAGATTAATTTCACTTTTATTAATGTCATGTTGAAATTAAAGACCTTTTGAGATGACAGTATTATGTAATATTAATATTTTTACTACTCTGAATTAATTTACATGAGCATTTCACCAAAACAAAACCAAAAAAAAAAAAAAACATTTTGGAGTTATTTTCGTAATTCCTGAGTACATAATTGGGCATAATTGAGATTTAAAAATCCCATTTGTAATAAATTTCTTCACATTCATCCTTTACAAGGCACATTAAAAGCTGTGCGTTGAACTTCAATTTTTTTGCGTTGTTTTACATTTTTCTTTAAAGATAAAATGTGTCATTTCTGTTCCACTAGCAACTCCAAAAACAAACAAATAATAATAATTTACAGTTTTTAAACAGTCCTCCTATCTGCCAGTTTTCAAGCAAACAAGTCCTGCCAAAACTCATGCCACTGGTTGAGCCAGTGCTGCTCCTCTCAAATGAAGAGCAATGTTTTAACAGAGCCATAGCGCTACACCTTTCTAGAAAAATGAATGGAAATCACCAGAACAATCACTCCGGACATTTTGCCTTTGAACGGTCACTCGGGAGAGTTGCTGGTGGCACTGTAGCCACTCAAGCAGCAAAGAAAACGGGTTTGGAGTAAAATATTTTCCAAGAATTTACTGCTTTGCATGTGAAGTTGCTGGTGAGAGCTGCACCTGAGAAACACGCTCATTTTTAGAATCTCTCATCTGTGATGTGTGAAAGAGCTGTCACACACTTGAGATGTGTGAGAGGACAGGTGCAAATATACTTCAGATTTAAAAGAACTGAATCCCATCTACGCCTAAAAATAGAACAAAAACATTTA